TGTAATCATAAAATTTCTAATATTTTCCTTGAAGAGTCTTACAGTTAAACTTTGTCCCTAGAAAGCCAAAGGGAATATTAAGCAAGAATCACCTTTATCAAGCATCAATTTGTTTTATTTCTCTTTTCTATCTCTAGTCATGTTAGTTCTTAACCTTATGTGGTAGGAGTCCCATTGAAATTCTGCTGAAAACTATGAAAACTCATGTATGAATACAAAATTTACCATTGTGTTTTAGCAAGCCCTCTAAAATCCACCTTACATCCATACATATATCCGAGGTCCTTTGCTGCATCTACTTGGTATAATCTAAAGATATTTTACACATCTCCACTGAACCATGCTTATTTTTCTTCCAAAATTAATGGACATTATAAAATCTGAGCAATAAATATGTACAATGTCTTTAATATGCACAATGAGTTAAAGTCATATTAAAAATTACATTTAGTCTAATCTGTTTGAAATTAATAAAAATTTTCACAGAGCAGTAATCACTATAAAGAAATACAAAACTAATACAATTACTAAATTTTGAAAAATAGAAACGAAGTAAAGATGTTACAGATTCTAAGGATCATGATAAAAATATTACTATTCAAAAACCTGAACTAGATTACTAATCCAATTTCTAGACACATTGATCTTAAGTAATATAATCTTTAAAGATCACACAAAATTATATTTATAATGAATTATTCGTCCACTATAGCCTGAATGTCTCCTATTAGAGACCACTAGACTGCGAAAATGAGATAAAATATCTCATCCTTAAGTAAACCTATTTATTTTGAAAGTTGTTTTTAACAACCCCTATATAATGCAAAAACTTTATGCCCTGTGTCTTTAACATTGCTAATGCTTTGCTTACTTTATAGTCCCTACAATATACTCAGTATAATTTTACTACGTTAAAAATGCTTCTGAAATATAACAAATATTATATTATTTTTGTAAAGTGAATCTTCTTTTTCATTTATTTTCTCTATAATTTTAAACTTTCAGAGATGTGTTCCTTTCATAGATGATAACTGAAAGGACCAAAGAGACTATTCTTTTTGATGAAGTGATTATGAATATGTGTTTCTCTATGTGGTTACTGGCTGCCTGATAAGGAATAGAGAAATACCATAGGTGTGTGAGGTATTCCAGAGGTCCATATAATAGGTCATTTTCCTTTTTGGAGTATGAACTTATCATTTGGATGTACAAGAGAAAAAAGTTCATAAAGTAATTTATCTTTGCCAGTATTAATTTTACTTTTTTCTTATAATGCTAAAAGTATACTCCATGGAAATAAATGCACTCAATATATTTTGGCCCCCACAATAGACATAAAAATTCATACTACCGGAGATCTCTGACATATTACAGAAATATCATCTAATACTCTATACTTATTCTAATAGTAAACTAACTCAAGTAAAGAAAAAGCTCTTAAAATGATTTCTAATACTAAAGCCACATAGTCTGCCCCAAATAAATTAATTATATTTCTAGTTTTAGTAGTTACCAGGATCTATCACAAAAACAATGGTACAAAAAGGGGGAAGGATGGGGATGGAAGATGAAAGATGTTCTTTATAATTCACTATTTTATCTAATGTCTCTGCATCCACGTTTATGAATTACTTGTAAAGAATTGAATTTTTTCAAAATATAATAGGATTTTGACTAATGATAATAGAGCTATGCAGAGAAACAAAGATTGAATAAAAACTTTATATATAACTTTTTACATTGCCTATTAAAAAGGATATGAATACTACATCTCCTCTTTACCCCACTTACGTTTGATCAAGTATTATAAATTAATGTTAAAGAGTATAGTTTCTCACCCAATGTAGTCAGTGTAAAAGTTATTGTCTTCACACACAACTTTCAAACATGTCCCCAAATCCTTCATCCTTTGTACTGGGCCTTTATGATGGATAGGTGTGTTTTGCCTCTGTAACTTTGCTCTTGTACTTGCCTGAACAAATATGCCCATTTTCAAGGTCCAATGCATGTCCTCTATTCTATACAGAACTTTGAAAAAAATACCTGAACTGATTTCACTGGGTTTTTTGTTTGTATGTTGGTCTGTTTTTGCTTGATTATTAAGCACACTAAATACAAATTATTTGCAAGCCAATAGATTTTTTTTTTTTTTTTTTTTTTTTGAGACAGAGTCTCACTGTGCTTCCCGGGCTAGAGTGCCATGGCATCAGCCTAGCTCACAGCAACCTCAAACTCCTGGGCTCAAGCAATGCTCCTGCCTCAGCCTCCCGAGTAGCTGGGACTATAGGCATGCGCCACCATGCCCGGCTAATTTTTTCTATGTATTTTTAATTGTCCAATTAATTTTTTTCTAATTTTAGTAGAGACGGGGTCTCGCTCTTGCTCAGGCTGGTTTTGAACTGAGCTCAAACAATCCGCCCGCCTCGGCCTCCCAGAGTGCTAGGATTACAGGCATGAGCCACCGCGCCTGGCCGTAGATTCTTTTAAAATGTTAAGGCTAGAGCATATTTTTTGAATACGTGCTATACAACAGGAAGCACTGTCATTTAATCTACACAACCCTGTAAAGTTGACTAATATTCTAATTTTATAGATAAGGAAATCAAGTGTCAAAGAGGTTAATTTTCCCACAAAGATATACAGGAAGCATGAGGTAAAACCCTAGATTCAAACTCCAGGCCATTTGGTTGCAAATCCTATGAAAAAGAGTACATTCAATAAAACAGTATTTTCGTCCAGTGCAACAACTCTTACTGATAAGAAAGGTTAATGTACCTCTTAAAATATCTAAATTATTGTTACTATCTCAAAGGAAATTCTCTCTTAGGCTTTTAAATTAATAATATTATTGATAGACTCTATAAAATGCTATTCACAAAAATTCACTGTAAGAGTTCTAGAGTATTCCTGCCTTCTGAATAGTACATAAAAATTAGAAATCCTTCATATGCATTTTATTATCAAAAATCTTTTAGAATATTAGAGTAAAACAGAGATTAATGATCCACTATTTAATGTCATAGACTATATACATGAATAATATTGTACTTTTTGATTTTTGATTCCTCATGTTAATGAATAATGATTAAACAGATAATCCAAAGGTTAGAAATGGTTTTATATTCCTATTTAAATAAAATTCTATTTTACTTATATTTAAAAAGGATTTAATGCAGCTCATAGTTAAGAGTAATTGTGATCTGGCAATCTACAACACTCTAAAAGAGTAGTGAAACCATATGGATCAATTTTCCCCAAAACTTCAGGAAACAGTTATTTGAACATTTTTGCTAAACTAAGAGATTCATTAAGTTTTAAAACAAAAAATATACATGACATTTCAAATATTGGCATAAATTGGGATAGAAATAAATATGCATATTGCAGAATATCTCTGACATGTTAGTCATATTAGCTAATACCAAGGATTAATCACTTAGGCTTTAATATCAAATTTTGTTGCCATTAAATTTAGGGCCATTTGTTTTAAAATATTTATGAAATATTATGCATTTGATGTGATAGCAACCATTTCTGTTTGTGAGTGTAATTCTAGAGGTTAATTTTACCCTATCTTTTTCTGCAAGATTTAGACCATATTTACTTGTTTTAGAGGAAAATGTAAAGTTAATTTTTCATTAAAAGAAAACTTTACATAAACTTAAAGGAAGCTTAAAGTAATTTCAGGCTTTCTCTTTCATCATTTCCATTAACAAACCTTCAAGGATCAAGGAATTCATAATTTGCTATATAAATAATTTCCAGAAATGATCAATCTCATTAAAATTCTGTTAAATAACCAAAATGTCTATTGATCCACCCTAATATGGCTCTTTCCAACTCCTAATCATGCCAACATAGTTATTCTTCTTTCACTATTATACTTGATAAGCATCAATTTCTATAGGTAGTGTGTCTATAATTACCCCTAAAGACTCAGATCACTATGAAAAAGTTAAGCAAATTAAAAATAAATAAAATACTACATTAACTTTCATTTGGCATAAATACTAATATTAATTTAACAACTTTCTAATTTCTTCTCAGATCTCAGACACAAAAGGCAATACTTGTTTGTCACTGTTGATGACTAAGTATATTAAAACATGATGAAAGTATAAGCATGAATTGAATATAATCCTAGATTTAGATAAAACAATTAAATTTATAAATGTTGACATTAATTTCTCATATCAATTGATTTAAAAAGCTCCAAGTGTTCTTCCTGAAATGAGTTTAGAACACATACAAAAGCACTTCTGAGTTCCTTCATTATTTTACTCTATCCTTTGAAAAGTTTGGGAAAAATATATCATTTATTTCATATATAAATAAAGCATGAATTAGAGAGAGTTAATCAATTTGCTTAACCTAAAAATGTCAAAATGTAAGCATTGTAACATACTATGTTACTTCCAAGTTTGCCATATTTAATGGAGCAAATTCAGAGAGTTCTTCTAAATACAACAATCAACAAGCATCATTCTGTAAGATGCTTGAAAGGTTTACTAAAACCCATGAGGAAAAACCTCTTCATGAGTCATGACACAATGTTGCCTAAACAAACCAGACTCTCTTAATACTTCTACATGGGAAAAATCACACTGATTTCTCTGATGAACATAAAAGATTTTAAAATCGATTGTCTCATGAAGATATTTTTATATATAATAATTAGTTATGACAAGGTAAAAATAATAAAACATCTTATTTTCATCATAATTATAATTTCTCATGCAGATTCACAAACTTCACCGGTTTGATTTAATAAAGGACCAAAACTGCAAGAATAAGGTGATTTTGTTTTTTTCTTACTTAGGAAAATGTTGCCTTTTATTTATTTTTTTTTAACAATGTGACAGTCATAAGAAAGAATGTGAGTACTGTAAAGCAAAAATATTGCTTTAGAAACTAAGATAAAGGAATAGACGAGAATATTTTATGGTAACCCTTCCTGAAGATGGTGACTGTAAGGTCTAATAGTATTTATTCATATTTACCTGTCTCTATCTGGAGAATAATGGTCATCCATGACACGATGTCTATCCATTCGGCTAATTGTATTATAATGTCCAGTAGTGGTGCGTGTCCCTCGAAGTCCCTGTTCTACATTCCGGCTAAAATAGCAAGATCCATTAAATATCTTAGTAAACTATATCATATACTATACTAAGTAGTGAGATTTATTAATAAAAATAGTAGAAAAAGACAAAGTCACTGTATGGTCAAGTCCAAATTTTTTGTTTTAACTAATTGCACTTCTGGCTAAAGGTATAAATTTCAGTTGGAGGTTGACAGATAAGAAGATTGCTGCTATAACAGATACAATACAAAAAGAGCTCACATTAAGCAAACATCAATGGGGATATAATAACAAATATCAACCTTATTAATGGATGACTCCCAGGTCTCTAGTAGTGATACTCAATGGTATATACAGGAAGAGGAGTAGATTTGTGTGAAGAAAATTAGTTTAGTGTTAGACATGTTTGTTTATCTACTCTATAGGAATGGATATAGAGATGCCACATGGTCAAATATGAGTTCAAAGCTCAGAAGAACAATTCAAAATCTGTCCACTTCTCACCACCTCCCTTCAAACCACTCTAGTCCAAACTATCATCTTTGTGCATATATCATAACAATAACCACCTAAGTAGTCTCTTGCTTCAACCATTACCTCATCTACCGTGACACACAGCAGCCCTATAAAACATAATTAAGATCATGACATGTCATATTATTGAATAAAAGGTAGGAATCCAGTTTTTAATTTTATTACGTGTGATGAGCTAATTTTCCTATCCTTTCCAACCCATCCTTTCCTTATTAATTTGTGTCACCTTATTATCCTGTACGAAGTAAACATAGAAATGTAAATGTGTATATATTTACATTGTACTATCCAATCTATTCATTATGTCTACTTTGCTGCTATTGTTCAAGTTCCATCTTGTTTTTAATTATTAGGGCCTGATAATACATTTTTCTCTTCTTTTTCAAAATGGATTTAATTATTTATATATGTTTATCCTTCCATATAATTTCTAGAGTGACAAGTTTATAAAAATTACACATAGAATTTTGATTGGTATTACATTAGATTTACAGATAAATTTGTTGAAATTTGCTATCTTTATTGTATGAAGTAATTCTACTCATAAAAAGGATATATCTCTCATTGATTCCTTACCTAAAGTTTATATTTTTCTTTAAGAAGATCTTGTGAATTCTTAGTCGGATGAATTGCTAGATATTAATACTTTATATACTTTATGAGGCTTTTGAGCATAGTGCTGTATGTCTTATGGTAGTTTCTAATTAGTTATTACTCATTTTTGTAAGTTGACATATGGCCAGGTATTGGGCAGCACTCCCATATTAGTTTTAATATTTTGATTATGTTGGGTTTTTTATGTATATAATCCCATAATCAACAAATAATAATGGTTTTTCTCACTTCTAAGCCTTCCACCTCTTATTTCTTTTTCTTGTATTTTAACATTTCTCAGGACCTGAAGTACTATTTTAAACAGTGACAATAATAGTGAGCACCCTCTGTTATTTCTGATTTAATGTAAATGCCTCTAAAATTTTTCTGTTAAATACAATGCTTAAGTTAGTAAGCTTTTATGAAGTGTGGGTGGTTTTCTTAGTTAAAGCAACATCTTTAAACACTTTAAACTATGTTTATCAACTTAATATATTAGATTTTCTTTTTAATTTCTGTAATTGTTCAAATTATATAAACACTTTTTAGTGTTTCATAGCCTTCTGAATTAAATAAGTTAAATTTATAAGTAAAATAAATCGAACATCCTCTCAGAAAGTACAATATCCTGTGTAAAATTAAGATTCAATTAAAATTCTAATACTAACTCAATTATTTATTTAAAACAGAAGTTATAAGGCTGTTACTCTAACTGGTCAAAATTTCTTAAACATTCCAAGTATATAAAGTGTGAATTATGCACATATTTCTTGGTAGTCTCCACTATTATTTCCACGGTTCTTATTCCATTAAGCCTATACTTAAAGAGGTTGATCAGAGATTTCCACCAGGCATACAACCTGGAACTGCAGCTTTTCTGAACCATTCTTCCCACGGCACATGCATTCTCTTGTATTCTTCTGATGATTGTTCCTAATTTTAAAGACCACTTAGTTGTTTATTTTTTCCTATTTCTTCCATTACCAATATCTACATCATTCATGCGTATAATTAGTTGGTTCCACCTATATCTGCACACACTGATATATGACTGAAAGCTGGCTCTTAATTATTTTGAACTCCTATAATAAAATAATATAGGGGTTGTCCAAAGTTACAGATAATCCACATTTTATTTCACTCTCATTACATAGGTTATTGAGTGGCATCTTGTTTTTCTCTAAATAACCTTTTTCCACAAGAATCACTTATATTTAAAGATAATTAATGATAAATTATGATAAATAGGCCTGTAGTAACAACCCACAAATAAAGGGAGTATGCTGTCTTACCTTTGTGGAGGAGGGACACTGGGTGACCACGATCTAGTCCTTCCTATAACATCTACTCGATGAGGAGACCCTGATGGTGAACAATGGTTTGATGACATTACTTGTTCTGGCACTGATAATGTTGAGCTTTGAAGATCTCGACCATTGTGTCGATAATCTAAAGGTAGAAATATTAATAAATATTATAGTTATCTATACACTAAGCCCTTCATGTATTCTGTACTTTGAATATATTAAAGTATAATGAATAAAGCATAATATTAAGACTTTATATACAGTTAATTATCTTCAATAAAAGACTCAAATTTATTCTAAAAACATTTTCATCTCTTCAATGACCTAGAAAAGCTTCAAATACTTCTCAACAATTATTAATATTTACAGTTATTAAGTTCAAAAAGTTCCTAAAGTCTATAGTCATTTCTTTAAGAGATAATATTAGAACACACTCTGAATACCATTTATAGTACGTACGTAAACTGCTTTTTTTTTTTTAAGACAGAGGATCTTGCTATGTTGCTCAGGCTGACTTTGAACTACTGGCCTCAAGCAATCTTCTCGCCTCAGCCTTTGAGTAGCTGGGACTACAGACATGTGCCACCATTTTTCTTATAGTATTTGACAGAGATGAGATACAGTAGAAGCCTCAGAACAAAAGTATGATTTGACAAATTTTGAAAAAGTATCTTAGAAGAGATACAACTCAAATGAGTGCTAGAAAGCAATTGATATGTGGACAAATGGAAGGAAAGTAGAATTCTAAGTTGGGAGAAAAAAAATGTCAGTTCAATGTGGGGCAGCAGTGGGAAAATAAACAGAAAAAGTAAATTTGACTCAAGTCGTATATATCTAAAACATCATGAGGTTTGTAATGTAAAAAGCCTGAAAATTTCTGAGAGTGATATTAGCACCACCACCATTATCTTCAACATACTCGTTATAGCTATTATTAATTGATCTTTTACTATGTGCTAGGAACTCTGCTAGGCACTGTACAAAGTGTTTCACTACAACATTTGTTTCAGAGATAACTCAGAAAAATGACTGGCTCATATGTGATTTTTCTAGTATGTTAATGTTTTTCACTATTATCTTAGATTAGATTCCTAGAAACAGAGCAAAAGACAAAGATCCAGATGCACATCAATAACTGAAGTAGTGTTTTCAGGAGAATGGAGGAGAGCAGAATAGGGCAAGGGAAGAAACTAAGCAACAATGTAGCAGCTTGATCTTACTGGAGGCTCTGAAAGATGAATTGGATCAGAGTTGCCTTGACTTTGAGGCAACAGGCCTGGACTTCTGTACTATGTTAGCCAGTCACTGGCTGAAGACTGCCAGTGGAAGGTAGACAAGGTTTTTAATCTCCTGGGTGAGGTGGTTTCCATTTGTCTAAGGGCAATTCCTGGGAGAAAGGGACAGCTGTGAATTTTTAGTAACCAAAACACACAGTAGCAAGGGATAGGTAAACCAGCCGGTAAAGGGGATATGGGTGGAACATCAACAATGTCCACTACAACTACCAAATAATAGCGGCCGAATGCAAAGTACGCTAACACAGAGGATTGCAGTAAACTAGAGAAATACAGAACTGTGTACAATGCTCATACATCCCAGGTTCTTTCTCTTGGCTTACTGTGGTCATCAACTCTGTCTTAGAAGTACAAATTGCATGGGCCCTTTCTGGTGTTTGTGGATAGTTCCCTTGATGCCATAACTTTGCAGAATTATTCTTCATTCCATCTAGATATAATCCTTCCATCTAGATAACTTCATTTTATTTTAGAGTCCTATATTTAATATTTTTAATGCTTAAAATTTAACATGACTTTTTATTGTGTCAGTATTTTTGTTTTTAGTGTTCTGTTTTCAAAGCTGCATGAGTTTTTTTTGTTTGGTTGGTTTTTTTTTGTCTTTTTTTTTGAGACAGAGTCTCACTCTGTTGCCCTGGCTAGAGTGAGTGCCGTGGCATCAGCCTAGCTCACAGTAACCTCAAATTCCTGGGCTCAAGTGATCCTACTGCCTCAGCCTCCCGAGTAGCTGGGACTACAGGCATGCGCCACCATGCCCGGCTAATTTTTTCTATATATTTTTAGTTGTCCGATTAATTTTTTTTTCTATTTTTAGTAGAGACGGGGTCTTGCTCTTGCTCAGGCTGGTCTCGAACTTCTGAGCTCAAACAATCCTCCTGCCTCGGCCTCCCAGAGTGCTAGGATTACAGGCGTGAGCTACCGCGCCCGGCCTGCATGAGTTTTGAATGGTCTTTCTAACCTTGATTTCCTAGGAAAGCCCTACTAATTTAGTCCATGATTTTGGAGAGCACAAGATTCCTCAGGAATACATATACTGCATAGTAGAAACAACTCTGCCAAGAAGATATTATCTCTATTTTTCATTTGTGAAAATGGAGGCAAAGAAATCTACATTAAATGTCAAATACCAGGACTGGGACTTAAAACAACATTTTTCTGACTCCACTGCTCTCACTGTGTTCTAATACTATCTTCTACTCCTGTGAAATAAGTAATTATTTAGGAAGATGAAGCTCACAGCAGTATACAATTCAGGCAGAAGGTTAGAGAGATTGCAGCGAGAAGATTAATTGCTCTCATAAAACTTAGAACAGTAGAATTCCAATAGAACTCTGAAATGAAGGAATATTCTCTATGAGTGCTGCCTAATATGGTAGCCGCTAGAATCACATGGCTATTGAGCACTTGAAATTTGGCTAGTGATAATAAGGATATGAATTTTTATCATATTTATATTAAATTAAGTTTAAATAGCCACATATAACTAGTGGCACGGCTCTGGAATATAACAATTGGCAGTGGCAACAGACTACACAGAAAGAATCATTACATTTATTCATTCAGCAATTATTTATGAGGGTATGTTCATGTCAGATGGTATTCTGTGCTGGCGTGAGTAAAAGAAACAAAAATTCTTGCCCTTGTGGAGCTTAAATTATAGTTGGGAAGCAACAGAAAATCCAATAAATAATTACATGATACTATGTATTTGAAGGTCATTAAATACTATGAGGAAAAAACAGATGGTAAAAGGGGATTGAAATGCCAGAATATGAGGGCAGTTTGCAATTTCTTACAGAGTAGTCAAGGTAGATAGGACACATTGAGAAGGTGACATTTCAGAAAAAATTGAAGGAGGTGAGGTGTTCTGCCAAGTGGATATATGGAGGGGAAGGTTCCAAGACAAATGTAAAGGCCCCAAGGTAGAAGTGGATCTTACATGTTCACAGAACATCAAGGAGGACAGAGTGCTTGGAGCAGAGCAAGTAATGAAGGGAAGATATTAGAGAGATTTGGAGAAAGGGGGAAGATCATGTAGCAGTTTGTACATTATCATACTGGTTAAATGGAATTGCTGTAACTCATTTATGAGTTTATACTGGTTAAAAGGAATTGCTGTAACTCACTTGTGGGTTCTGAGCAGAAATTGGACATGATCTAACTTATGCTTAAAATTAGACAAGGCAATAAGTCATATAAGAGATGACAGGGGCTAGAACCAGGATAGTAACAATGGAGATGATGGGGAGTGATCAGTCAGATTCTGGATATATTTTGAAGGTAGAGATATCAAAATGATTCTGTGAAAGATTTGATGTTGCACATAAGAGAAAGAGAAAGGATAATAACAAATCTAAAATTTTGAATTAAATAAACAAAAGAATGGAGCTGCCATCAAATGACATGGTTTGGTGGGAAAGATTAGGAGTTCAGTTTCTGACATGCTAAGCTGGAGATACCTACTACATTTCCAAGTGGAGATATAAAGTGGGAAGTAGAATATAAAAATTTAGAGAACAAATAAGTATTCTTGACTGGATACATATATTGGGGAATTTTATCATATATATACTATTTAAAGGCATGAGACTTCAAATAGATTAGATCACTAGGAGAATGAGTATAGATAGAAAAAAGGTCCACGGATAGAGCTCAGGGTACTCTAATATGAATCAATAACATTTTGTGACTAGATACAAAAGCAAAAAAGAGCAAGTAATAAATGACTCTAAACTTTTGATTTTAGCCCATTAGGAATTTAAGAGTATATAACTAAGAGTAGAAGTTTACTGAGGTGGACTGGTTTGGAGAGGGGGAGATGAGACTACTCTCATGTATTACTTCGGTCATGTAGGCAATAAATTAAATACATGGAAAAGCGTCTTGAGAAAGGTGTTAAGAATGTTAATACAGATGAGACTCATTTATAAAAGGATCATCATTGAAATCCAGGGAAACATTACATATATAGAGAGAAAAGAGATCTGACTACTGAGTTAAAGACATACTATTGAGCAAAGCAGGAAGAGTTAATATAAGAAAAGAACTCAAGTGATGCAGTCACATGGAGATTAAAACGAAATATACAGCTTTAAAAAATACTAATGATTAATAATGTAAAGTACTACTGAGAAGTGATAAAAAATGAGTACTTGGGGATAAATAATTGACTTACAAATTTTAATAGTAAAGGTGATGTTTAAGAGCTAATTATCAAACATCTCCCCACAATTAAGACATAAGTAAATCCTCTACTTTTCCAATGGAAAAGAGTTTACATTTGTTTGTGTATTGTTTCAGGTCAGAGTAGAAAATAATCCTAAAATTTTATGTGGCTAGGTTTTATATTTTATATATATTCAATTTATCAAAGTTGTGGAGTGAGTCAATAGGATCAAAGAAATGGTTTATAACCATTCCCATTCCCATTGCTTAGTATATTATGAGGGCAAATCCATGCCTGAAAATGCTTACCTGAGAACCCTAAATTTCTTTATCAAAGTTTCAACTTACTTGGAAGAATATTAACAATGCAGATGTCAAAATTACTTCTGACTTCAGTCAATCAGAATTAGCAAAATAAAGAACACATGGAGGGACTTCTAGACTTCTAGTTTTTGAGTCAGCATGTAAGGAGTTTGGATGTTACCACTCTGTCCTAACAACAAGCAAAAAGCTCAAAAATCAACAACTCTTCTTGGATCTGTAAAAGATGGAGGACACAGGACAAACAACTGCCCCCAAGATTGGAGAGACTGTCAGGAAAACCCAGTGAGTCACAGCTTACCAGAGCAGAGGCTCATGAGTAGAAACCAATGCCAGAGTAGGACAACTTGAACTGCAATTG